GTCTGCTATGAGAATAGCTACCCCTGTTTGCTTTTGGTTTCCATTTGCATGGAATATTTTTTTCGATCCTTTTACCTTGAGTCTGTGAGTATCCTTGTGAGTTAGATAGGTTTATTGAAGGCAGCAGATACTTCAGGTTTGTCTTTTCATCCATTCAGCCAGTCTATATCTTTTAAAATGAGAATTAAGACTTTTTACTTTCTATTTCCAAATGAGGTCACAAAAAAAAAAAAGAAGAGAAGACTTTTTACTTTCAAGATTAGTATGGATATATGAGAAATTGTTCTATTCATTTTGTTGAATGATATCTACTTGCTTTGTTTTATCCCTTGAGTTCCTGTTTTATATGCACTGTGAGTATTAACTTTCTGGCACTTTCATATTGGTGGATTTTGAGTGTTCTCTGGGATAAAACCCACTTGGTCATAGTGAATAATTTTTTTGATGTGCAGTTGAATTCGGTTTGGTGAGATTTTATTGAGAATTTTTGCATCTATATTCATAAGGGATATTGGTCTGTAGTTTTCTTTTTTGTGATGTCCTTTCCTGGCTTTGGTATCAAGGTGATATTGGCTTCATAAAATGAGTTGGGGAGGATTCCTTCCTTCTCAATGTTATGGAATAATTTCTGCAGGATAGGTACCAGATATCCTTTGTAGGTTTGGTAAAATTTGGGTGTGAACTCATCTGGTCTGGAACTTTTTTTTGTTGGAAGATTTTTATTGTTGATTCAATTTTGGTGCTTGATATTAGTCTTTTGAGGGATTCCATTTTTTCTTGATTGAGCCTAGGGAGGTTGTGTTTTTTTAGAATTTGTCTATTTCTTCCATGTTTTCAAGTTTATAGGCATTTTTATGCCTATAGGCATTTTATTCAGACAAGATGTTTTGTACTTCCATGATATGAGTTGTGACTTTTCCTTTTTCATTTCTAATTGAGTTTATTAAAGTCTTTTCATTCTGCTTCTTCAAAGAACCAACTTTTTATTAATCTCCTGTGTAGTTACCTTGTTTTTGATTTCATTTAGTTCCTCTTGATATTGGTTATTTCTTCCCCTCTGTCTGGTTTAGATTTAGTTTGTTCTTCCATTTCCAGTTCCTTGAGATGATTCCTTAGATTGTTGATTTGTGATCTTTCTGTCTTTTAGATGTGGACATTTAAGGCTATGAGTTTTCCTCTCAGAACTGCTTTTGCTGTATGCCCCAGATTTTGTTAACTTGTGTCCCCATTATCATTGAGTTCAAAGAATCTTTTGATTTCCATATGAGTCTCCTCCTTGACCCAACAATCAGAAATAGGCTGTTTAGTTTCCATTACTTTGTGTAGAGATGAGTGTTTCTGTTAGAATAAGTTTCTAATTTTATTCTACTGTAGTCTGAGAAGATACATGATATAATTTCTATTTTCATAAATTTATTGAGATCTGTTTTGTGGCCTAGGATGTGATCAATTTTAGAGAATGTTCCCTGAACTGAAGAGAAGAACATATATCCTTCTTGTTATTTGGGTGGAATATTCTGTAGATGTCTGTTAGGCCCATTTGTTCTAGAGTTCTGTTGAGTCCATTGTTTCTTTGCTCATTTTATGTTTGTAGACTATGTCCAGTTCTGTCAGTAGGGTATTGAAGTCCCTGGCTATTATGACATTGCTGTTTATCATTTTGTTTAGATCAAGTAGGATTTGCTTTATGTATCTGGGCATTCCTGTGTTAGGTGCATAAATATTTAGGACTCTTAAGTCTTCTTGTTGAATTGTTCCCTTCATCATTAAATAGTTGACCATTTTTGTCTTTCTTTACTTTTGTTGATTTAAACCATATGTTATCTGATATGAGAATGAGTATACCAGCTTGCTTTTGGTTTCCATTTGCCTGGAATATTGTTTTCTATCCCTTCAACTTGGTCTGACTGAGTTGTGGGTTAGATGCATTTCCTGGAGACAGCAAATACTTGGCTTGTGTTCTTCTTCCCATTCAGACAGCCTATATCTCTTTAATGGGCAGTTAAAGCCATTCACATTTATTGAGAAAATTGATATTTGGAGTGATTTTGTTCATCCTGTTGGGTAGCACCATATTGTTTTGTTTTACCTCTTTAGCCATTGTGGTATCTGCGTTCTGGATGTTAGCTTTTGGCTGATTTTATACCAGTGGGTGTCTATTGCACTGGTTAGTGTATAATGCAGGTATGAATACTTCCTGCAGGGCAGGTCTGGTCATCACAAATTCCATCAGCAAGTGATTTTCTGGGAAAGTCTTTATTTCTCCCTCATATAAGAAGCTTAGTTTTGGAGGATACAAAATTCTAGCTGGCTATTATTCTGTTTTAGAAGACTGAGGATGGGTCTCCAGTTCCTTCTGGCTTGTAAGGATTCAGTTGAGAAGTCTGCAGTTTGTCTAATAAGTTTTTCTTTGTAGGTTACCTGGTGTTTTCACCTTACTGCTTGTAGGAGTGCATCTTTCATGTTTACTTTGGCCAGCCTAATAACTATGTGACATGGTGATTTCCTTTTCACAATGAATCTCCCAGGAGTTCTGTGTGTTTCTAGCATCTGTATCTCTAGATTTCTAGCTAGGACAGGGAAATTTTCCTCAATTATTCCCTCAAGTAAATTATCCAACCCCTGTGTATTTTCTTCTTTTCCCTAAGAGATGTCTATTTTTCATATATTTGGCCTCTTTACATAATTCTGCATTTCTTATATGCTTTGTTCATGCCTCTCATTTCTGTGTTCTTTCTCTTCACCTGATTTGTTTAGCTCACAGATATCTTCAAGTACTGAGATTATTCTGAGTGATCCAGCCTATTCTTTCCACTGTGTTTTGTAATTTGCTTTCCACTGTGTTTTGTAATTTCTTTGTTTTTAATTTCAGCATATTATGGGGGTACAAATGTTAAGGTTACGTATATTGCCCTTGGGCCCCCCCCTAGTCAAAGCTTCAAGCCTGACCATCCCCCACACGGTGCACCTCTCACTCATTATGTATGTCTGTACCCATCCCTTCCTCCCCTTCCCATCTGCCCAACACCCGATAAATGTTATTCCTATATGTCCACTTAGGTGTTGATCAGGGAAACCAATTTGCTGGTGAGTACATGTGGTGCTAGTTTTTCCATTCTTGGAATACTTCCCTTAGTAGAATGGGTTCCAGCTCTATCCAGGAAAATACAAGAGATGCTATATCATCATTGTTTCTTATAGATGAATAGTACTTCATGGTATACATATACTACATTTTATTACTTTTATTGACTTTTTTATTTTAAAAACTCTTGTTTTTATTTGAAATCTTCATTAAAAGCATTGAATATAATCTAGTAGTAAAGTGCTGGATTTCTATTACTGATTTTGCCACATGACAGACCAAAATATTATCTTCATAAAAACACCTTGAATCAGTGACATCAACTCAAGTTTTTTATAAATCTGAAAAAAATGTCATTTTCCTTTTCTTGGCATTGACGGAATGCTTGATCATGAAAATATATAAAGTATTTCATGCCTTTATCAATAAACATGCCCTTGGTCAATGAATGAGTGTGTGAACATTTATTTCAAATCTTTCCACATAGTTTTCAGCAATTGTCAGGTACTGTTTTAATAAGAAATAGATTTAACAGACATGCCTGAAACAGATTTACTAGAAGAACTGTTAAAATGTGAAATATAACAAATGTGATATGAAATATAAATTGGGGGGTGGTCAACAGTATTCATTTAAATAAACAGCAGTGGTAATTGGTCATCTGAGCTCCAGTAGCCTCGAAAGATCTCACGGTTGACTTTTGTACATTAATTTTATAACCTCAGTTTGCAGAACTCCTTTATTTGTTCCAATAATTTTGTTTAGCATATTTCTTAGGATTGTGTTTATTCAAGATTGTGTCATCTGCAAATAGTTTTATTTTCTTTCTTTCCAATCTGGATGTATCTTGTTTTCTTGATAACTTCTCTGGATAGAACCTTCAGTACAGTGTTGAATAGAAGGGGTGAGAGTGGACGTATTCATATGGTATCTAACCTTGCAAGGAAAGCATTCTTTCACTAAGTAGTATATTAGCTGTAGGTCTTTAATACATACCATTTATTAGATTTATAAGCCACAAACAGAATGACAGAAAAGTTGAAAGAATTATATTATAATCTCTCATATGTATATTACCACCTAGATTTGACAATTATAATTTTGATATATTCATTTTATCATATATCTATTCATCTGTCTGTCCACCCATTTATATTATTTTTTGGATGCATTTTAATGTTTCAGATGTTAGTACACTTTAACCCATAATACTTAAGTATGTATAACATTAGAATTCAGTATTTGTTTCTAATACTTTTTTCTTACCTTTTTTGAGGTAAAATTTAAATACTGAGAAATCACAAATTATACTATACAATTTGATGAGTTTTAACTAATGTATATACTTGTGTAATCCAAACTTCTATGAAAATATAGAATATTACCTTTACTCAATAAAATTCCTTCATATTCCTTCCCAGTCAGTCTTCCCCAAGGCAGACACTGTTCTGATTTTTTTCCCACCATAGCTTAGTTTTTATTTGGAGCTAAATATAAATGTGATCATACTATATAAACTCATTTGTGTATGGCTTTGTAGCATAATGTTTTTGAGAACCATCTATGTTGCTGCATCTATTAGTAGTTTGTTTCTTTTAATTGTTGAATAGTATTTCATTGTATGATTATACCACAGTTGTTATACATAGGAATGGAATTGCTAAGTCATAAGACAGATATGTTTAATTTTATAAGGAACTACAAGATATTTTTCCAAAGTTTTTGTATCATTTTATATTCCTACTAACAATGTATGAGTTTAGATTACTCCGTATCCTTTTCAACATTTGGTGGTAGTACTTTTGTTTTCTTTCTAAAACAATTTTAGGTATTCCGATACATGTATAATGGTATCTTCTTGTGATTTTAATTTTTATTTCCCTGATTACTATTTGTATTGTTTTTTCTCTTTCAGACAGTCCGGCATGGTTTCCCTTATCAGCCCACAGCATTAGCTTTTGATCCAGTTCAGAAAATCTTGGCTATTGGAACGAGAACAGGTGCTATACGAATGTATCCTTCTTTTTTGGTTTATTATTGACTACATTAATACCAATTACATTTATTTAAACATTCAGGTAAGAGAAATATTTATGACTAAATAAAGTTTATTGTTTCTTTAGAAGTGAATAACTATTGTGAAAATCTACATTGTCAATTTTATTGGCATATTTTTTGATGTCTTTGAGATCAGTATTCATGTCCCTTCTTTAATTCATGTTATTGGTAATTTCTGTCTTCTCTTCTCTCCTCATTAGCTTTGCTAGAATTTTATTGCTTATATTGATTTTCAAAAAGAATCAATGTTTGGTTTCATTGTTTTTCTTAATTGTTTCCCTATATTCCATTTCACTCATTTTTGCTTTGATAATTTTTATTTTGCTTACTTTGCTTTTCTTTTGCTTCTTTGAGATTAATTTGATCTTCTTTTCCTAGTTTCCTAAGTGGAAACAGGTCATTAATTTGAGAACTTTCTTCTTTTCTAATATGTGCCTATAGTACTATAAATTTCCTCCCAAATTCTGCTTTAGTGTCATCTCAATTTTTTAAATTAAACTTTTTATTTTGAGGTAATTGTAGATTTACGTGGAGTTGGGAGAAATAATACAGGGAAATCCATACTCTTCTACTTAATTTCCTCCAATTGTAGCATCTTATAAAACTATAGTATAATGTCACAATCAGGATATTGACATTGATACAGTCAAGATACAGAACATTTCTGTCACCACAAAGATTCTTCATGTTGCCCTTTTATAGCCGCATCCCATCCCTCCAACCTCTAACAATCATTAATTTTATTCTTCATTTCAATAATTTTGCCTCTTCAAAAATGTTATGTAAATGGAACCACATAGTACAAAATCTTTGGACATTGACCTTTTTCACTCAGCACAATTGTCTGAAGATTCATCCAAGTTGTTACATGTATCAATAGTTTATTACTTTATACTGTTGGGTAATAGCCCATGATATGGATGTACCACAGTTTTAACCATTTGCCTGTTGAAAGGCATTTATGTTGTTTCCAGTTGTTTGCTATTGTCAGTAAAGCAGCTCTGAACATCTCTGTATATATTTTTATGTGAACCTAAGTTTTTGTATCTCTTGTAAATATCCAGGAGTGCAACCAGGGGTCATATAGTAGCTGTATATTTTAGTTTTTAGTTTTTAAGTGTATAGTTCAGTGTTATTAAATGAATTCATAATATTGTGCAACCACCACCACAATTTTCCATGAACTCTTTTCATCTTGTAAAACTGAAATTTGTCTATACCCTTTAAATGATAATTCTCTTATCCACCCCCTCCTAACCCCTGGAAATTATCATTCTACTTTCTGTCTCTATAATTTTTACTATAAGTATCTCATATAAACTAAATTATACAGTATTTGTCTTTTTTCTTTTGACTGCCTTATTTCATTTAGCATAATGTCCTTGAGGTTTATTCATATTAAAGCAAATATTAGGATTCCCTTCCTTTTTAAGGCTGAATAATATTCTGTGTGTGTGTGTGTGTGTGTGTATGTATATATACACACACACACACCACATTTTGATATCTGTTCATCCATCGATGGACACTTGGGTTGCTTTCATGTTTTACCTATTGTAAATAATGCTCCTATGAACATGGGTTTACAAATATCTCTTTGGGACCTTGCTTTCAGTTCTTTTGGGTATATTCTGAGAAGTGGAATTGCTGGATCATATGGTAATTATAGTATTAAATTTTTTAGGAACTACCATACTGTTTTTTATGGCAGCTATGCCATTTTACATTTCTACCAAAAATGATTACTTCTTCATGCGCAAAATTTTATAATTTTCATGAAGTCCAATTTATCTATTTTTTTCTTTTACAATTGGCTTTGGTGTCATATCCAAGAAATCATTGCCAAATCCAATGCCATGAGGGTTTTGTCCCATGTTTTCTTCTTGGAGTTTTATAATTTTAGGTTTTATATTTAGGTCTTTTATCCATTGAATTAATTTTGTATATGGTGTTAGAAAAGTATCAGACCTCACTCTTTTGCATGTCTATATCTAGTTTTCCTAGCAACATTTGTTGAAAAGACTGCCTTTTCCCCATTGAATGGCCTTGACACCCTTGTCAAAAATTATTTGACCATATAGGTGAGAGTTTATTTGTGGGCTCTCTAGTCTATTTTGCTGGTCTATATATATGTCTTTATGTCAGTACTACACTATTTTGATTACTGTAATTTTGAAACTAGAGAAAATATGAATCCTCCAACTTTGTTATTCTTTTTTTGTTATTTCAGCATATTATGGGGGTACAGATTTTAAGGTTTCAATAAATGCCCATTTCCCCCCCTCCCCCCACAAGTCTGAGTCTCCAGCATGACCATGATGGTGCACATCTCACTCATTATATATGTATATGCCCACCCCCCTCCCCCCTCCCACCTGCCCAATACCCTATTACTGTAGTACCTATGTGACCACTTAGGTGCTGTTCAGTTAATACCAATTCTGCTGTAGTATGTGTGGTCTCTGTTTTCCATTCTTGGGAAACTTTACTTAATAGTATGGTTCCAGCTCTAACCAGGAAAATATAAGATGTGCTATATCACCATTGTTTCTTAGAGCTGAATAGTACTCCATGGTATACATATACCACATTTTATTAATCCATTCTTGCATTGATGGGCACTGTGGCTTTTCCACAGCCTTGCAATTTATGAATTGTGCTGCTATAAACATTCAGGTGCAGGTGTCTTTTGTAGAGTGTCATTGGATCTTTTGGGTAGATGCCCAGCAATGGGATTGCTGGATCAAATGGTAGATTCACTTGTATCGCTTTAAGGTATCTCTTGCTTTCCACAGAGGTTGAACTAGTTTGCAGTCCCACCAGCAGTGTAGGAGTGTTCCTCTCTCTCCGCATCCACGCCAGCATTTATTGTTTGGAGATTTTTTTTTTTTTTTTTAAGCTCATCAACTCCAGAATGTTTGGAGATTTTTGATAAAGGCCATTCTCACTGGAGTTAAGTGATATCTCATTGTGGTTTTGATTTCATTTCCCTGATGATTAGAGATGTTGAGCCTTTTTTCATATGTTTGTTGGCCATTCTTCTGTCTTCTTTAGAAAAGTTTCTGTTCAAGTCCTTTGCCTACTTTTTAATGGGGTTATTTGATTTTTTCTTGCTGATTTTCGTGAGTTCTAAGTATATTCAAGTTATCAGTCCCTTATCGGATGCATAGGATACAAACATTTTCTCCCATTCTGTAGGTTGTCTGTTTACTTTCATGACTGTTTCTTTGGCTGTGCAGAAGCTCTGTAGTTTGATCATGTCCCATTTATTTTTGTTGCTGCTGTGATTGCCTTTGGGGACTTCTTCATAAACTCTTTGCCTAGGCCGATGTCTAGGAGAGTGTTTCAACTTTTTCCTCTAGAGTTCTAATATTTCATACCTTAGGTTAAGTCTGTTATCCAGCGGAGTTGATTTTTGTGAGAGGTGAAAGGTGTGGGCCCCGTTTTAGCCTTCTACAGGTGGCTATCCAGTTTTCCCAGCACCATTTATTGAGAGGGATCTTTTCCCCAGCATATGTTTTTGTCTGCTTTGTCAAAGATTAGATGGCTATATGGGATGTTTTATATCAGGATTCTCACATCTGTTCCACTGGTCAATATTCCTATTTTTGTGCCAATCCATATTGATTTAATTACTACAGCTTTGTAGTAGAGTTTGATATCTGGATATTAATGCCTCCCATTTTGTTTTTGTTGCCTAGAATTGCTTTTGATATTTGGGGTCTTCTTTGGTTCCATACAAAGTGTAAAATTATTTTTTCTATACTGTGAAGAAGCTGATGGGATTTTAATAGGTATTGCATTGAATCTGAATCAGTTTGGGTAGTATAGACATTTTGATGATGTTGAGTCTGCCGATCCACAAGGATGGTATGGATTTCCATCTGTTTACATCCTCTGCTATTTCCTTCCTCAGTGTTTCATAGTTCTCCCTGTAGAGGTCTTTTACGTCCTTGGTTAAGTTTATTCCTAGGTACTTTAATTTCTTCGTTGCTATTGTGAAGGGAATTGAGTCTTTGATTTGATTCTCAATTTGATTGTTATTGGTGTATATGAATGCCTCTGATTTCTGTGTATGGATTTTGATCCTGAGACTTTACTAATTCATTTAGTAACTTTGGGTTTCTTAGTATTCAATATCATCAGCAAACAGTGAAAGTTTGATCTCTTTTGCCCCTATTTGGATACCTTTGATTCCATTTTCCTGTCTGATTACTGTAGCCAAGACTTCCAGCACTATGTTGAACAGAAGTGGAGATAGTGGGCAGCCTTGTCTGGTTCCAGTTCTAAGTGGGAATGCTTTCAATTTTTCCCCATTCAGTATGATGTTGGCTATGGGTCTGTCATATATGGCTTGTATCATTTTAGGTATGTCCCTTCTATGCCTATTTCTTAGTGTTCGTATCATGAAAGGGTGTTGAATTTGTCAAAAGCTTTTCTGCATCTATTGAAAGAATCTGTGGTCTTTGTTTTTGTATCTGTTTATGTGTAATTGCATTTATAGATTTATGTATGTTAACCATCCCTGGATGAAGCCACTTGGTCATGGTGATTATTTTTTATAATGTCTGGATTCGTTAGCTAAGATTTGTTGAAATTTTTGCATCTATATTCATTAGGGATATGGTCTGTAGTTTTCTTTTTTCGTTGCATCCTTTCCTGCTTTGTATCAGAGTAATATTCGCTTCATAAATGGTGCCGGGAGAGGTTTCCGTTCTTCTCGATGTTAGATAAGTTTGCAAGATAGGTACTAGTTCTTCTTTGTACGTGTGTAAAATTCGAGTGTGAAACCATCGGACCGGGACTTTTTCTTTTAGGGAGATTTTTAATTGCTGTTCTATTTCAGCTGTTGAGATGGTCTGTTCAGGAATCTATTTCTCCTCGTTGAGCCTAGGGAGGCTGTGTGTTTCTAGAAATTTGTCTATTTCCTCCACATTTTCCAGTTTGTATGCATA